CAGTTTATATATTTCTGCTTTTATTTATAATTATGTCAGTTTTGGTTCTCCATACAGCACGACACACCCTGTTCAGTCAATGAAGCATGAAAACCAGAACCACAAGCTCCTCTTAACGCACTGCCACCCCCCTCAAAAACSTCTGGATCTGCTGGACTCTTGTGTCTGGGCAGCAGCATTCTGTCACGGCCCATTCACAACGRCACGAGGAAAACTAAGGATGCAGATCCCACAGTTGAGTTAAAGAGTCTTTATTTAGACAAACTTCAGGACCTACAGGGAAATGCCTCCAGCCACTGAGAAACTCTAACATACACTGGTACAAGACACTCTCAAAGCTGAGAAGGAACAGAACTCAACATGAAGACCAGGAACAAAATTACAAACACAGGAACACCTGAGGAGGGAAACAGGAGACAGGTGTGCAGCATTAATAGTTGGCAGACGCAGAGAAAACAGAACCTAGAAAAAAAACAAGACCCAAATCCTCACACATGCTAAAKTACCCCCTTTCCATTGGAAATTTTTGACTTCGATCCAATGCGGCAGCTTTCAAGATGGCATCCACATTATAGACATAACCTAAAAGATAAAAGATTACCTGCTGGGGTATTCACATATTACATTTTCTCCTTTGTTTCTGAAATAAAAGCGTGTCATGAGACTTTTGACTCTGTGCAAATTGGCAGAGTAACAAATTGACATTGAGCCACAGTTATTGCTCAAACAGGCCTTCTGAGACCCCATGCAAAGTTTGCTTAGAATTTATCTTTAGGCTAGTTAAAGCCCATTTATACACATCTTGATGGCCCTGTTGTTAGCTATGAGTTTGAGAAGCAAGCTTTTTATCTTTGCAGGTAAATACACCGGCATGATCTAACATTTATTTTATGTGCTGTTTGGCACTGCAAACCGTTGCCTTCATATGCAAAGAGAGCAATGGGTCACAAGGGAGCCATAAAACTCTGGTGGTTTACACAGTTTATGYTGTCATTTTGTTTTTAGTTATAGACTGCACTTATAGTAGGAGTTAAAGCTGTGAAGATCTTTTCACTTTAAATCTAGAAAATAAAACTATGCCCAAGTTCATTTTTTTTTACCAACAAAAACTTACAAATAGATACTTTCCAAAAAAAATCTAATATATTGTTTTCAAGACTTTTTACATTTTCAAATGGAAGTTGGAAATGCATTTATTGTCAATTCATAAACATGAATCATGTTTTTATGCTTTAAAAATAAATAAAAATGTTAAAGAAACTAAATAGTATTTCATTGTACATTTTCTGTCAGGATTCCTGTCTTTTTCTTCACTGCAAAAATTGTCCATCTAACAGTGGCGG